TCTCGCCTCCTTCAAATGTACACGGTGCCCTAGTCGAATCAAGAGACTGAAGACGGTGGTGAGCGCAGGTTGTTGGCACATCGTACCGCTACATTCACTGGTCCACAACGTACACTGAACAGGGTTTTATATCCCAAGAGAATCAGGGGGACAGCACAGATACCATCTGCGCCTCCCACAGCACCCCAACGTTGGAATTTGTCAGGTGTACACATACCGAATAACGCCCAATGGATTCCGATCTAGCCGCAGTGATGATCCAGCACATCTACCGTGTAAACTGTCTTAGAGGCACACACAACGGTGACATTATGTATTCAGTGGCCCTCAATTTGCTACAAACTGTGGAGTAAATGCCAATTCAGTTGAATTATTGCTGACCGAGGACAGTTTACAAGCCAGAAATAGTCACTAGCCGCGTGGCCTATATTCTCTTTGCTAGATCAGTATATCCCTGTTTACCGGACCGCGATTTAGACGCGTGATAGTTATCGAGCTCTGATAAGTGACTGATATTTTCCTATACCGGTGGATACCGACTGTTTAATAGGCTGACATGGAGTTATACGGGTTATCTCCATAACGAAATCAACGTCGAAATGAAAAAAGGTAGATATTTTGACCAAGATGTCTGGTTGTTACTGGAGTAGATTAAACACGCCTAATCAAAGGGGCAGTACCAATCAGCAGAGAAGTTAGGCTAAAAACGACGAGCGATTACTCCTACTGAAAGATCCCAAAAAGAACTGTAACACAACGTGGCCTGACGACGTCAAGGCCGCTTGGTTTGCAGTAGCGGAGGATCGGGGACGACATAAACAAGGTGAATCTATAATTTCGTAATTCATTAGACGTCTCATAATTTGACCTCATGATTTTTAACCTCGCCATTGAAATTTGGGTTGTCTGACTGGTTTGTAGATTCGCATCTGTCCGCGTAGATTTTAGCACTACACTCTCGTAATGCACGAATATATGTATCTCAATATTCTGAACTAGTAGACTCACGAACTTTGCTTGATTCAAGTGATACATATGCTCGTCTGACTAGCGGGCAGGGCAAAACTGGTTTTGGCTACGCACGGAATGTTAGAAAGGATCTAGAGTCAAACCCTCAGTCTCAAATCGTTTGACAAGTTTAAAAAGTTTCGAAATAAATCACAAATTACATGAACTGCCGGATTCGCTGTTGGAACATGTACAGACCGACAACCTCATGAGTGGCCTAGGCTATCAAGGTCAGTAACGTCGTCAGCATCCATCAGGCTGCCGCTCTGGCAAACGATTTGCGAACTATACTACTGTCAAGACGGTGAGGGTATTTCCATTCAACACGATGTGCCCATCTTTTTTTTCGAAATGTCCAGCCACCTCAGTCGAAGCACGCATTACCTTATCATATGTTTTCAAGAAAAATCCTATTTTTTGGTGTTCCGACAAATGCGTATCACAGAACTTGCCTTTGTGAGCGCTCAATTGCAAATGGTAAAAATCAAAAGTACCCACCGGCATCACAAATGCAGTATGAAATTACGCCGACACCCTCTCCAACAAGAATGTGCATATATTTGGCGAAAAAGCTCACTTAACAGACACAAAATGGAGTACATATTATCACAGGTGACAAGTTTATTCAAATAAAAGTAGCTTCTAATTTTCTTGCAAATTGCAAACTTTTATTCATGTGGAGTCCCTATGAGCGATGTTAATCGAAATTCTCTCCCGACACTAACCGCATCTTGAGCAAAAACGCACGGCCAGGCATTGCGTCCTTGACATCGTGCCGGGCGTCATGTGACACTAATTTCTAGCTTGCATTTAGTGGAAATGTATGTACAAAAACAATTCTTAAACTGGAATCATACCGGTTTATCTGGTTAGTTTTGTGCACGGAAAAGCACTGTGCACTTCTAAACCCTCCAACCTATCTTCTTTCATAAAAAATGCCTAACTTCGAATCAGCCTAAAAGTACTCATAATAATTATTTTGCGTTTATTAGTATATTGATGTCTATAAATGCGTTCAGATTGGTTTCAGATTATCTAGCGGTTTTTTTACTCGTTTAAGTATATGCTAGTCGTTAAATAACCTCCTGTATGTCGACACCTCTATGTTTCTGAATAATGCATTTCCTTAAGTTGTCCTTTAAGCGGATTTGTTAGGATCTGCCAAGGCAGTTTTCATGTTTAGTTTCAAATAAGAATATGACAGTTCGATCGTCATTTCCGATAATGTCCTCCATGTGGTTCATATCAGGACGAGATCGTGGATGGCAACTTGTGTGTGAAGTAGTCTTAAGTGAGTGCGGACTTACGCATCATCTACCGCACTTTCATTTCCTTTCCCACCTGGATCCAGTATCAAGTCATGGTCAATAGGACTGGAGGTGACCGACGTGGCGAAAGCTGTACCAGTAACCAAAACTGGATAGTCATCATCTATAATGATAGCATAAGGATTGTAATAAGAGATAGAACGAATTATGCAAAACGTTATGCTCTGCTGGTCCAGAGGATGATTAAACATATTTAAGGACATTATTGATCTGATAAGACTGCTGCAAATGTGCACTCTTTTATTTTCTATTACATAGCAGTTTAGCTAACAACAATGGGGCGCACTAGACGGAATTCTTCCAGGACGTCCCCTTCACTTTTTCAGGCTTCAGTCAGCATATGTTTTATGCTGTATTTTGCCGGAGCAATTAACATTGAAAATAGGCTAATATAAATTTGTAATCGCCTAAACACAGTATTACTTATATTGTAACTACTTTGGCTGCCAAAATCCGAAGATTATTACAACTGGGGTCGTTTTTGGTAGCAATGAAATTCCTATGATTTGTACTTCTAATTGTGTTTTGTTTAATGTTTAACACTGTCAAGCCTCCGAGCTCTATTTGTTTATATCTCCCATTTTTTCTTTCATTTTAAGCGTCCGTAACTTTGCAAGCGATAGGGTTTACAAAAATACTATGCTCATGACCCACTAGTCCTGCTCTGCGTCACAACTTTTTCATTCCCTGCAATTATGGTCCCACATAAAACTGTTAAGCCGGTAGGTCTATTTTTTCCTAAAAGGAGCGCAACTTAACCTAAGGTGTTTGACTTTCTGCCCATATGTATCTCTTCTGATGCTACTTGTAAACGCGCGCATACTTTACCATTCAGTCGCATAGAGTGCTTTTGTAATAATACGAATTTAACGTTCTTTTAGGGACGGCAATTTATTCCACAGTGGTGTTACGCGTAATCAAAAATAATTGGTCTTTCACTGCCGAACGTAGGCGAACATTACTGGATACTTACTAGTATGCATGTTGCATTTACGATACGCCGTAACTTCGAGGATACAACAATCATTTTTCGACCTGTGATCGCACAATGCGACTTTAATGAAATTCGACTACTAACAAGGACCCATATATGGGAAATCGCGAGCATACTTGTTATAAATGTGGCATTCATTGGACGCAGCATCCGAGGAGGCTTGCTTATGTTTTCAGAAGATGCACACACGCGAATGGGTATATTTTTACGGACTTGCACAACGGTCACTTAGCTTAAAAATATCATTCGAACAGCAAGTTGAACCTGACTAAATGTTGTGTATACGTCTAAAATCTGATTGAGAGATCAAGGTTACTTCCTCGGAGTGTTGGGCTGACGTATGCAGAGATGCGTTTGAAGTATATTAACATGACAGAAGTTCCTCAGAATAGCTAGGTGGTCATCAAATATTTGAGGTCACGTAACGGCAGTGAGCACTTCTTTGGGAGAGGAGTGATATCATGAAATATAACTCAGACGCTTTAAGAGGCATAAAATGTTATGCTTATGCTATAAGCCGACAAAGAGAAGACTTATTTGTGCGTAAATAACAATGAATCGAAGACTATGGTAATATCTTATATAGATATTTGAACTAAGCCTTAAAACCTCAAACAGATCGCGGTAAGTTAAATTGATCGAAACTGCAAAATCATTTGTAACCCCCAAGGTGAAACCGATACCCATTTTTGGCATTAAGTTTCGTTTACTCCAATAAATGTCAGAGGTCACACTGTAGCTCAAGTTTCTTTGTAATTTATACGTATGCCTGCTAGTCTATGAAGGAATAAGTACCATCCTTCGCGTCACAACATGTAGCATTTAGAACCAAATCCCCCATTACATAACAAGAGGCGAGCAAATCAAGAAAAGCGGCATGCGTCTTTGTTGGAACGACAATAGCGGTCGCTGAAAACAATTAGTAAATGACAATCCTGCCCAGACGCAGAGTGTCGGGAATCTAAACACGGATAAAACACATCCAGTTCGGTTTTAGACTGCGTGTGTTTGAACACTCGTTGACTATTTTCAGCGATTGGGAATATACATTTCTGAAGAATCAGTTATTTCTGCAACCAACAATGTTAGGTTTTAAAGTTGGTTTTCCATCAAGTAAACGTTCATTCTCTGCATTTTGACGATAATAGGCCGCAGAACATGTTTCTTAAAACCGCAGTAGAATGAAAATCTAAAGGTGTTTTGACGGACGGCAGTGCGTATATGTGATTCAGTGGCCCTACTTATGTCTTTATAAGTAACTAGCACCAACTGGTTTATATCCATGCGTAATTCTAAAATAATGCACCACACAACATCCTGGAACGCTCGTATTCGGCAAATTGATGATGATATCACCGGCATTTATTTTTATAAGTGTTCAACGGCTTATTAATTTGGTTTTTTTTCTAAATATTAGTAACTTGAGGATAGAAACATCATTCATGCTTGCGATCATTACGTCGTGGACCTTGATATGTGGATAAACAGACCTGTGCTTTGGTTATTTCAGAGCGATATTCTATAGGCAGATATGTGCTGTCAGGCGACGCGTGTCAGCCCACATGTCCACGTGCGACCAATGATCGTGCGACAGTTTGACTGTCAACGTGGTTAATTACTGAAACTGCTGTAGTATATTAGTAGTGAATCTGTATTGCTCTGACAAAAAAATGATTCCTCTAATCGCTGTTCTCATCTTGTTTCATTGTGCAGAATGCTGTTTTTTCAAAAAGGGTGAGTAATTTTGAAGACTTACATACTTTCTCAACACATAAGAAATATAGCATAGAAAATTGGGGAAATACTTTGGCTTTGCTATATCCTAACTATACTGATCGTTTCCTGTTCAGCGATTGCATAGTAGTGATTCCTGAAACATTCTTCTAACAACAATCGTTTTCCTCAAAATTCTCTCTTATAAATGCTTTTGTCAAAATTTCACAGTCTTTTATATCCTCAGGAATACCGAAATGTCCAAGAAATGACGAAGATATCATTCCCGATGAAGTCGCTGAATATCTGGCACGTCAGGCCTACCGTCATGGCTTTGAAAAAGTAATATCCCTGGCAGATAATTCACAGTTAAAACTCAAAGTGCTCATACATCAGACATCCCTACATTTTGCCTGCACATTCTTACGGGATGTAGCACCCGCAAAATACCTACGGTACACATGCCGATCGCAATTTCCTGATGCCGAAATACATATCAAACATCAAGTAAGATAGTAAAGATGAGATGTATTCGTATTTTATAACTACTTTCTAGTAATTGGCACAGCATAATTATTATTATGAATTGCATAATACTTTTTCATAGGAACGACCCCAGAAAATGGTTACAAACTTCTGGAGAGATATCGGATGTTTTAATTTCATTATACCCAACTTGTCATTAAAGGCGACCCTCGATATCACTTATTGTAGAAGGGAATTTGACTCGCCAAATAGGATTCGACTGTCCTCTGTTGAGATTTGCAGTTCTCATACAAATGCTCATAAATGCGCTTATGAACCCATCAACTCCAGTTTATTAGGCTTGTTAGATATGTGGTCTCCTGACGTTTATTTATTATTGAGCTGGGGCTTTTTGGATGTCACTTCAAAGAATGTCTTCAGTAACCATGGACATGGCTTAACTGTCAAAGAAGCGGAACTGACTGCTTTACAATAAGGATAAAGGAATCCATTGTATATTTTGACATATGATTTCAGTACGCTTGGATTTTTATATTCATTATATCTATCCCGCTGGCAAGTCAGAATACCAAAAGCCATTTTGCACACTTGATTTTAACCCGTAATTTATTTGGGGGTTTAACGCAGACTGTCATCGGTTATAATGAATGGAATCCATAAATATCAAGATACGCGGATGAAACCGATTAATTTCACCTGTTCTAGGACATCTAGTCGTAAAACGTCAGCGCACAACAAACACGTGGCTGAAGATTCGTCGAGAAATAGTCGGTGTGCTGTCCTTATTTCAAATTCGACCTGAAGCAGGGCAAAGTTTAAGGACCGTTCGTAATCGCCAATATATTATCACTTCAAACAAGGCAATGATGATTTAGCATTTATAAAACAAGGCGTCAAGTTCCAACAATGTTCCCTGTCATTGTAAGCAGTTGGGGACTATTGAAAACAAATGTTCGCATGATAAATCCCTGTGGGGTCAGTATATTTTAATGGTATCGATTTAATTGTGAGATATGAATACGACAAGAAAAATCGATTTTAGACCAGGTAAGGGTTCAGGAGTAGTACTGAAGAATAGAACAGAGGATGCTGCGAAACTAGGGTAATACTGTCGCATCTTTCCAAGTTTTCGAAATCCGAAAATGTTGAGGATCACACAGAGTCTGCCGAGGGTCCGTTGACGATTATTCTCAGAGATCTCTGCAAAACAAGTTTATTTGTCTAGTAAAGAGTACAAGCGAGTGAGTGTGGTGGGCACGACAATACCAAGAATGCATGGCCTTCCCAAAAATCCACATACAAGGCTGCCCCTACCTCTAATGTTGGATATGAGGAATTCGCCCTATCGCACCGTTGCAAAATGGTTAGTGGATAGACTGAAGACACAGCAAGGTAATCTGTATCGTCGAAATCTGAAAGATTTCTTTGAGTTCGTTGAAGCTATCAAAAATATTAACGTTTGCGGACGGAGGATGCCATTACTGAATGTATGATCGCCGTTTAACAGCGTACCCGTGTCAGAAACAGTAAATTATCTTTATGATGTTATTTGTGACACGAATTTCCTATAGGCATGCCAGTAAAACGCTAAAAGAACTACTGACGTGCACAAAACGTCCAGTTTTCGTGCAATGTTCAATTATACAGACAAATAGATGGCGTGGCAATGCGATCACCTCTTGGACCGTTCCTTGCAAATAATTTTATGGGCCAATTAGAGACGTCAATATTACAAGATGCCATTAATGACCTTGTCTTCTGCGGTAGTACGGGGACGATATCTTCTATCTGGCGGATGGTACCACTGATATGAACGACCTTGTCCGAAAGTTCGACAGTGCGCACCCCTGTCTAAAGTTCACTGCTGAGTCTGAGGCAGATAAAGAAATTGCGTTTCCCGATGTCCTTCTACACAGGCAGGAGGATGGGCCTATCCAGCGCTCCGTGTTCCGAAAGAAAACCTGGACGGGAAAATGCATTAATTTCCACAGTTTTGTTCCCCTCAACATCAAACGAAATCCAGGTCAGGGATAGGCAGCTAGAGTAAGGCGCCTCTGTTCACCTGAAGCTACTGAATCAGAGCTCCAACAGCTGCGGAACACAGTTCATGAGAACGGATACCCAGATAGATTTATTCTCCGAAATATTAGGGAACACATTTAAAAGTCCACTGTTGCGACCGCAGAAAAGAAAGGTGTTTCATAAGACTGCCTTTTGTAGGGGACGCAGCGAGCGAACTAGTCAGACGGCGCGTAACTACAGCTCTCACGAGAGCAGTCCCCCGGCGAATTTACGCGTATGTTACACAAACTCTCCCCACCTACGTTTTGAAGGTAAATACACACTACCGTTGGAAGCCACATCGATGTGCATCTACTCATTCACTTGCTACTGTGGAGCGGGATCCATCGGCCGTACGAAAATACACCTGGTAAAAGGGGGTGAGTAAACATATGCCGGCCTCTTTAGTAAGAGGTGATATTCGATTGATTTCGACTTCTATTCTCGTACACATAATCAGTACGGACCACCGAGTCGATGCCAAGGAAGCATTTCGTGTTGTTTATTGGACACCAACAATCTTCTCTAAAGACCTACGCCAACAGACGAGGCAGTGGCTATACGGTTAGCGAATCCGATTTCATGCTGTCAGAAAACGCTTACACTAGCGCACTTTCTGCCGTGGCCAACGCCAACCTCAAGTGATGACGACATGCCGCCTCAAATCCCTAATCACAGTGATGCGTACTCCGTGAACTGGATCCAGGAATATCACTTAAAGACTCGCTTACCCCCCTCCCCCATCTGAAAGGACCAAAACCCACCGACTTCGTCATGCGGGCGGCGTGGGGAAGATGAGTTTTAATGAGTTAATTGTCCTTGAGGTACCTATAAACATTGTTAAATTTGTACATGTCATTCCTTCATGTTACTATTTGTCTTGCGAAGAATTACCGAAAACACGGGTCAGGATATATAATGGTATCGATTAAAGTGTGAGAAACGAATACGACTAGACAAATCAATTTCAGTTTGTTTTTACATGCAAATGGTCTGTTGGATTGAGGCGAGGATTGGGAAAATAAGACGTAGCGATTCAGGAGACAGCGAGGAGTACGGAGTAGTACGAGAAGCGTGAAATAGATCTATTATATAACCGGTCTTTCGCGATATCAGGATAGTGTGGAGCGAATTCATTTGTGCGAACAAGGCCAGCTTTCTTTTATTAATGGACGTAGCCCTTTTTCTGGCTAAAATATGTTGGCCTCGTGGTGGGCCCTTGTAAATTACAAGAATTCCTCTGGAAAGGCTGTTATATAAAAAGGGAACGATAACACCACTTGAGATGGTGGAAAAATCGAAAACAGAGCCATAAAAAGATGGATTCCCGCACAATCTGTTGATTCGAAAAATTCTGAGGACCTGGTAAATTCAACCATGTGTAGAGCAAGCGTTTATTTCGAAAGTCCATCCCACGTCGGATTTAACTAACATGCTTTATCAGCCTATTATTCTATCCGTCAGTACCGTGTGACGCTGCTGAGCATCGTTGCAGCTCAAATGAAGAATTTGCAAGCGGACGGCCTAACATTGCTGGCAGTGTTTAATGCTTATTCGATCTCTTAATTATAAGATGGAAAATAACTGGCATAATCGATTGGAAAATGTTTGAATATAATATAATATAAAAGCGTCTGGAGATAAACGTTGTCTTGAAACGCACATGCATCACGAATTATTGTGCACATACAATTAATAGCCGACATTTATCCTAATTTTAGGTGTTTCCGAATTATGGAAACTGATCACCAATCGTCGTCGCTTTTATTCTGAGTCCGCGAAGTATGTTTTTCAGGTCCCGGCGGCATGTAGCGCTGACCGCCGTAAGTGTACCTGCAGACGCTTGATAAGGTTATGTGGCTATTTCATGCACAAGTAGAAATCACGTCATCCACAAATCGACAGTGTTTTCTCCCCTCTCCATAACCCAACTTTTATCAGCATAGATGTTCGAAAAGGCTAAAACTCTATTGAGAAACTGCTTCAGGCAGCATTGGATTTGATCGACACAACAAGAACTTGCAGGACAGAGGGCGTAAGGCTGGGCTGTCTTAAGTTTTGAGTGAACGAAAAAAGAGGTCAGAACTACTTTGTGGACTGGCGTGTGTCTGGAGTTGGAAATTCGGTCAGCATTTGAGGTGACATGTCTCTTGATCGTCTTGTTGGTTTGGTCAACGCATGATGCTATGGTTATGGGTTGAAGTGGCGTCGACCTAAGCGCGAATTCTACACATTCTAGTCGAGTAAAAAATTTACAGCTTCGTGAGTTGATGATTAAGTTTATAGTTTAGCGAGTGTCGCAGGTCTGTCTTAGTTGTTGGGTGTATTCGATGGTTGGAGCTAAGGCTCAATCAATCGGAAAAGCTGAGGAGACATACACCCTATGGGCACATAATTGGCGTAACTGGCATCTGCACAGATGTTTGCCCTCATGAAAGCGCGCACCTGTTTGTGTATTCCTACTTTCGCTTGCGTTGAATCTCAGGTTGAAGAGAACATCGGACGAAGTCGGAATGCGTTTTTTAAAATTAATCTTTGCATGTTTGTTTGCCAAAGTGGTCGAGAAATTGTTTTTGATAAATTGGTCGCTCGTTGCAGCCGATTAAAAAGTACACATATATATTTGCGCAGTAAGTCGCAAACCAACGATCTGTTTACACATTATCAGGGGATTGACAAAGTAGTTGTTGGACGGGCAGGAGCAGGATGAACTTTCATGCTATTGAGGGGGTGCATTCATAACCCCTGGAACATCAACGCTCCTCGAATGTATGCTAACAGTGGCTGTCGGTTTTGTGTGCATATCAACATCTCGATTTCCTGATTTGTCGCAGACTGCTTGGTGCGATGGCGTGCCAATAAAAACACTAAAAGGGTAATGTATTATCT